GTGATTCATTGATATATTTATTACTGATGAATAACTCTTATTTGCAGTGCCTGCCTATCTGAGAGAGAACATGATTGAAATTATCAACAGTTTATACCTATTTTGTTTATGGGGAGATGTCTCCAGGAATTGGAAAAATAAGTATGGTTGTTTTTCTTTCAAATATTTTCATGAGAAAAATAAAGAAGCAAATTCAATGCCTTTGACTTTTGAACTGCAATACACAAAGCTGGGCAAGAAAATATACATCATGAACATGTGCAGGTGGGCAATTTATGGTTTTATTTGTAATGCTTGACTCATATAAAAATCTTGTTCATGACATCCTGCCTAGGCCTCCATAGATTCTTATTTTGTAGTATCATCTTTGTAGTAAAATTGCCAATGCAGATTGCATGTAGTTCCAAAATGATTAAGTTAAAATACAGCTCCCAATTACATTCATATGAGCAAAAACAGTAGCATATTTTATAGATATATAATAACCCTGGTACAAGCAGCTCATTGTAGGTAGCCCTAGGTAGCTTACTTCATAGCTTGAATTGAATCTTTGAACATACATTGAAGTGACACAATCTATTTCTATTTGAATATTTAGATTGTGAAATAGCTAATATATATGGTTTGTTTATAGTAGGTACTAACATTTCCTCAATTTTTCAGCAGGGGAGGAGTTGCCATCCAGGGTATCTTGCAATTGAGTGCAAATAGTTACACAAATTGAAACCAAAACCCAGATTCCTTGAAGTTGAATTCAAGTTTTTAAGGAGATATCACTGATTATTTGGGTACTTGAACATATCCATGACATTTCAAATTGTATCTTGGAAAAATGTATTCATAATTTTACTGCTTGTATGTTATTATTAAACTGTTTTTATTAAACTGTTTTTATTCATAAGTAAAAGTTCTACTTTGTTTTCTGTTTTGTAATGTTTTATTGTAGGTTTTCAAAATTCATATTTCAATTCCACAACTACCTCAATCAACACCTCATTCTTTTTTGATGCAATTTCAAAGTTTCACTTTATAATCTTTACTGATTTGTTTTAAAATAGGTACCTACCAGGTAGATACTTACTTTTGCTCATTGTTAAGTTATTTCTACATAATATGAAAGTCCTGGATTTCAAATTCATTTATATATTGACAATTGTAAATTTTTATGAAGGTATCTTGTAAAATAATTCAGGGAAAAACAGTAAACATGAGCACTAAGGGAAGGAGTATACTGGAAGATCCTTCTATTTGTAGGTACTTTTTTCTTGACTTCTTTGGAGTGGCATAAGTACAGTAAAACACATGTTATGACAATGTACTTTCATTTTCGAAAATTATTATTAATTCAGTTCCAAAATATACAAAACATAATGAACTATATACAGATTGATGATAGATATTTTCAATTAGATGAATTTAGGATTACAAATTGATATCAAATCACAAAATCTATGATAATATACTGTGTAAATACATTAACTGAAATCCTAGGTCATTTGATCAATGTTTTATGTGGTGGAATTCCAAATTATTCAATGATTTCATCAATATGGTAAAAAAAACTAGCTTTACAAGATATCAAGTGAATTCCAAGAAGAAAACTCAGTCTAGGATGCCACCTACCTCAACTCTAAGTATATTAGGAATATTCACATTATGAAAAGTGTGTTATATGGATACAATTCACACACATGGCACATAGGATCATGACAATTTGCTGTTATTGCAGTGGAGCACCATAATATATGAGGTATGGGAGTTGCACTGTGAACAATCCTCAAAGCCTGGACGTAATATTGTTGAAGATAGCCCATTGATAGTTGTATCAACTATTAAATCCACAGCTGTGTCCACAGTAATGTCAGGATGCTTTTGGTGTTGAATTATTTCTTGGTTTAGACTCATTAGAGCTGGTTGCTGCTGATTTCTATTATATATAATTGCACATGATTCTGATGGCTATAATATTTAGCACAAAATAGTCGAATAGGTTAACACATTGTTTAGGGATGGTTTTCAATATGTTCACAGAAGGCTGTTCACTGTTGAAAAACTTCACTCCTGGTATCACCATTTGTGGTCTGTGGGATCTTTTTGCTTGAAGAGTGGAGTTATAGAGGTATGATGGTGAATATATCAGCTTCTGATGATAGTAGATATGCTTGTAATTTTCTGCTGTCCCACAGAAATGCACTGGTTTGAAGAAAGCTCGGACTATTTGGTCCACGATTCAGTCAGTAGGTATCAGTTATTTTCCTCACATCATGATGAAACAGTATGATCCAACAATAAATATTATGATTTCAGTAAAAAGTTCAACAATTAACACAAATAACACGATGAAATATCAAGAAGAAAATGTATGCAAATCTCAAGAAATTTTGTAAACAAACTACACACTCTTTGCCGCCATCTTGTTTTGAAACAGCGCCCCCAACGGTCGATCACCTTGCCAATAATCATTGAAATTACTGATATAAGTATGAGGACCATCAAATATGGTAGAAAAAGAAATTATATCAGCTAAATAATGCACAGAGGCCAAACACCCATCAAAGTCAAAGTCTTGGAAGAAATCCCTGAAGCACAATAATCACACCCAGACTGAAAGAACATTCTGAACCAGGTGAGTACTTTCTAATTGTTATTTGATCAAATTGTTATATTTACTTGTATTTTCAGGTCGTAGAAGTCTGATCAACTAAAGGATCATCAATACAATCGAGTGTCATGTGAATATGGTATATAAATAAAGAATTTCAGATACAGTGTCTCAATGCTTTTATATGTGAATTATAAAGATGGAACTGAAAATTCGAGGAAAGGCAATTTTCACGTTACACTCTATCAACATTAAACTGAAACATCGAATGAACAATAATGTTAATAATATATACATATAAATTACATCAATGAAATTGATATACCTACTAACAGGAAATAGGTACCTACACATTTTCCAAAGCTCGACAAAAAAGGAATCTTACTGATTGATCACATTCGACTGCTTCACACGAATATTCCCATGAATACTTATTGTTTAATCAAACAGTCACGAAAGCTTCCACTTGTGAAATATCTATATACAAAGTCGCGCTTAACAATTCCTATTGCTTCTACCCACCCCTACCTCCTCCAAACCCCTAACGAAATATAACAAAAAAAAATCCTCTGTTACATCAAAACTATCATAAATATCACCCCACTTTCAGCACAGATTTGAATTCATAATAAGTAATGAAACATTATTACTTAGCTATACTTACGAACACAGAAAAAGTTTAAAATTGGGAGCACTTTCACGTACGATCCATTTCGTATGATTTAACCTAGAAAATTCCCGAATCCACATATCACATTCTTCTAGATTGTGTAAATCCGTGTAAATCTCCATAAACTGTTATATTATCATTGTTAGTAACTCCATTCGTCTTATATTGAAATAAGGTATTGAAATCAAACTCAACTAGGTATTCAACTCAATGATAGGATGCACGTGCTGCTTGCATAATAATAACTGACCAGTGACCAAAAACAAAAACAAAAGCGCGAGCCCTATGCAGATGGCAAAGTGTACATCCATTTTAGCTGATTTTAGGTATCAAACGCAATTCGTACTGCCTATTTGGCGGCGAGAAGATCTGCAGCAAATTGTACATCTATTTGGCGCCGGTATAGCATTGTGTACTGTTATTTGGCAACATCCAATCAGAAAGCGTAGACACAGGCCGCATGCCAAATAGATGTACGTTGTGCTTATATGCATCCCGGTATCGTTGAATTCGTAATAATAATTCTTAACTGATTATCTAATAAACTAATGAAATACAGGATGTTCCATTTATAAATCAAAAGTTGGAGTCGTTTCGTGAATCCGGAAGTGATGGGGCCAGGAGAGTAAGAAATATCGAAAAAGCTTGCAATACTCCTGCCCAGTTTGAATATACCTTCAGAACTCTGGATACCATGACTTGTTCAATGAATACGTTGATACCATAATAGGTATGTTAACCTAGCTGTACTCTATCATTTTGTGAAAGAGAAATCATGACATAAAATGTAATGCCCCTTCCCCCCCTGAAAAAGATTGCTGGATCCGCTGCTGCATTAGACCAACCCTCTTTTTTATATTTTGGAGCACACGAGAGGGAATCGTCATTATGTTCGAGAAACAATATGAGTACCTAGGGAGGATAGGAAAAGAATGTAGGTATTGGCATTTTTCTAACATTCAGAGGTTACAAGTTCTTGAAATTACTCTCATTGCCAAAGAAATCCAAAGCTTTGGGACAGCTCAGCAAAAATTCAAATCTACCGGATCTGACGCCCTTTCAGGTGAAAAAGTTTCTAGACTGTAACCCATATTATAGTTTTATTATCTGCTTCGACATAAGAATCAATGTTTTTTATACACTTCAGGGATTTAAATAAGGGTGCTTCAAATCTCTATTTCCAGCGAAAAAAAGGTAGGGATTTGAAGTACATTTTATATAAATCCATAGGGATTCAAAGTACCACTTTTTATCCGAAATTTAGATCACCATAGTTACTGAGGTCGTTGATATGATAACAATCAGCCCCTTCGATGACGTTTTAGAACTAGAGTACCTACCGTTTATAGTAACATTAATTTTTTTTCTTAAGTGCCTAAAATTGTATATACACCTCAGGACTAAAGTGTTTTTGAATCCTCGACAAATTATATAAACTTTTTGTGTCGGGAAATGAACAAACAAACTTCATTAGACAGTAAAAAAATATCACTTCATCACTTCTTTGACAATCAACAAGTACAGGTGAGAATCATAATCGCCAAGTCACTATCAATATAACGTTTTTTCTGTTGGGAGTTTGAGATTTTTCATGTGTGTATTCAGAATCGAGAATGCTATCAAAGGCATTCTTGAAAAATTCATAATGTGTTCTCGATAATTTACTATTTATAATATTGTATTTTTCACCAATCAACTACATTCCTTCAATCAGTAATGAAAACTTACATCTTCAAGAGTATATCCATCCTGCTGATATACAACATAAAATCCTATCACAAAGATGAGAAAGGTAGCTATCAAAACTACTCCCCATCCTATACCATACAACCATGATGGATCATCTTTGAAGATTCCTTCTAGTGGAAGCGTGATCATTCCCCACGCAAATAAAGCTGTGAGTATTAGGGGAGAAATCCACCACAAAACGAGCCAACAATTGGATAGAATATGCCCGAGCATGAATTCAAAGTCAGACTTTATCCTTTCAGTTCCTGAAAACAAAAACTCAATCAACATCTACAATGTTTACAGCTCAGGTTGTATTTTGACGAACTAAGGCGATTTATACAGAGTAGTTTCGATCTCTGAATATTTTATTAGCCCTTATCTCTCTCTCTCTCTGAGGGAATTTGTCATGAAAAAAATTTAAATAGATTTTTTTCAATGCCCTTATTCACCTGGCTCATTCGTGTTATTTGAATTAGTTTGCAATTGGAATTGAATATTAGCTAACTAAAATAAATATGAACTAGTTTCCGTTCAAGATGAGACGGATTTCCCATGTCCAAACGTTCCCAAAAGTAAAATTTTTTTGCTGTTCCTATTTTTTATAACATTGATTATAATTCTTCAAATATGACTAATATAAGATGGTACAAGATCTGCACAAGATTATCGAAAAAGGTGTAGATATTCATTTGAATTTGAATTTTTACCGCCATATATTTTCAGTTGATGTGATCAGTTTTTTTTTTATCGCTTGGAGCGCACGAAAGGGAATCCCTATAATGTTCAAAGAACATCGTGCGTTCCTAGGGAGGATAGGGACAGGAGGTAGGTATTGGAGTTTTTTTTGAACTTCTGGAGATTATATGTTGTTGGGAATACTTCCACAGGCAATGAATTCCAGAGCTTAGCCGTTCTATGGATGAAGGAGTTTTGATAAAGTGCTGTTCGACATCTTTCGAGGTTGACAACAAAAGGATGTGTTACTTCACATTCCAAGCACGAGCAAGGAAGTTTTTTCAATATTTTATTTACGATTTAAATATTGTAAAGTTTCGGAGCATCGGCTGGGGATAGTCCTGCACGATTTGCTGTTGCGTTCCAATTAACAGTGCTGCTCCTAAAGTGGCGCATGGAGTTAGTAACAAAGCCTACACAGAACACGCAGAAAGAGATGATGATGTGGCTGTGAGCATCAGAGAAGAAGTAGGACGGTGTATGTAGGTGGGTGTGGAAAAACTACCAACTGAGCGCGAGAGCGGGCCAGCTGCTTAGTGGACCTCGGTGTCTAACGGGGGTTAACGAGAATAGCTAGCAGGCCTGCCACTGCAGCATATGGTAGTGAGTACATTACTAGCCTACAAAACACAGCCGAAAAACTCTGAAAGAGAGCTGTGCCTGAAAAGGATGTTAGCCAGCTCTCTTAAGCGAACCACATCAGTCATTGAAAACACATTGGGGCTTGCAAAAAGGTCCCATTAGGGACTAGTTGCTGACGTGCAAACGTCCCTCATCAGTACCAGTAGTAGTAGTACTTCACATAAAAATGTAGGGGTGTTCGGAAGGCAGGATTTTTTACTTTTTTTGAAAATATTTGGGTATCTCACAAACGATACAATCGAAAATCATGACTGGAGGTCAGCAATGAATAGGATATTTTCTATAAAACATGTCAATTCAGGTAGGGTTGCCATCCGTAGGGATTTTCCCGAACATGTCCGGGTTTTAGGAGACGTCCGGGCGGGTTTTGAAAAATTGTCCGGATTTTCGTCAAGTCCCACCAATACTACTCATGTCAGTGAAAGTGCTCAAAATTTGAATATTTATAGATTGGGTATCATTTATGTTACTTAGTTTTGTGTTGAACTGTCGATTGAGAATGTTTTTATTTATTTTTGAGTTTGTATTCGATTTGTGTAACAAAAAAATATGTATGTAGCCTTACCCATACAGTGTACTATAGTGATATTCACCATTCACTTTCGAATTTATATGTACCTATATGAAAGTATATTTTTGGAATTACAAAAAATTATTCGTTTTCAAAATTCCCGCTGTCCGGGTTTTTAAGTAGCTTTGTCCTGGTTTTCATATTTTAGAGATGGCAACCTAGCTCTAGTTGGGTATACCGAGTTTTTTCACCAATTCTACCAATATCCAGAATTGCACCATCATTGGTTTTCCATGTTTGGATAATGTTAAAACTCGTGGAGATACTAACACATGTATGTAAAGTAGTAGAGTTCGCACTGAGTGTTTTGTAATTGATGTATCAGTTTGGTGTCATTTGACACAAAATCAACAAACAATTATTTAGAATGCGAACTGTGCATAATTGAAACTTATTTATAAAGGAGTTACCATTTCGTTACTCACCATAAAATGCTATTAAAGCCATTATTTCGATGATAACACATATAATGATCAAGTTACCAACAATATAATGATCCAACAGATGTACTATATCAAAATTAGATTTCAGCAGGATGGCACAACCTAGAACGTAACCTAGGAAACTGAGTACTACGCTGGCATGCCACCATTTTAACTTCTTTTTACTCGCTACTGTGATGGCTTTGAGTAAGGTATATGTCAAAGTTGCCTAGAACAAATGAAACAAAAAATAATCAGATTAGATGCTTTTATTAAAAGACGCGCGTTATCTAATGAAATTACCACGGCAAAAAACGGCAACGTGAAGTCATGCATCATGCATGGTCAACATTTCAATCATCGATCTGACAGGCATATGTAACGTCAAATAAAATATCACTGACAAAAAATGTGTTTTATCCATATTTATGGTCTCAAAGTGTACCAATAACAAAATAGCGTGAAGTATTCGTGGATTTTGGTCTTTAAAACACTCGCTCTATTTGGAGCACAACGCCGCGTGTTTTAAAGACCTAAATATCCACGTATACTTCAATATACCATTTTCAATATCCAAGTATTTTGTATCATGTCAATGTTTTTTGAAAAACAAAAACAACATTTGCTGCTTCTGACAACAGTTCCATGGAGTATAAAACCAATATTTGTATATTCAAAATTGCTGGAAATGAAATGATCGTAATTTTGTCCATACTTTTGAGAGAAAAAAATGCTAAATTCTAATCGACTTGGTATTTGAATGAATACTCGAGAACAGTGAGATCAATGTAGGTATGTATTTTTCGATCAATTCAAAATATTTCTCATGTTTTTTATGCACAACTGGAGGTAAAGTAGTACTTTAGCGCCGTAGAACGATTCATTTTGTACAGCAGGCGTTAAGATAGGAAACGAGCGCCATAGTAATCTCATAATATTTTCAGTTATTTGTGGTTATTATTATCTCATCTTTTGTCGCCAGTATCATCCATAATTTCCCTAAATAAATTGAAATATTTTTTTCACATGCTGAACAGACCACAGAAGTTAACACTTTGTTAAAATCATTGTGTTTTTTGAATTGACACTATTCTCAAAATTCACAGTATGTACAGTGTGTCCAGTTTTCGATGCTTTTGCCTGATATCTCAGTTATCTTTGGAGATAGAACCTTGCGGTTTTCGCGGTCCTGTGCCACTGTGAAACTCAAGATGGCCTAATCAGATTTTGCAAGACTGTTTCCGTTTATGAGATACAGGGCGGTTTTGAAAATTTATACTTTTTGGACCCCCTCTACATCCACGAAGATTCTCAACAAAAATGTCGAATCAAAATCTTATCGCATAGAGAATCTCACGAATAATCCAGTGGCGCACTTACATTTTTTTTTCGGGGTATGGTTTTGGAGATATACGACTCAAACATTTTTTAAATGGAACACCCTGTATTTCATATGCTCATTAAATTCCTTATTTTTTTGTCTTCAAAATGATATATAAAGAATAAATATAAAATTTTCGAAATTGCTCAAAATCACTAAAATATTGAATTTTGATAGTTGGTTATGGATTTTTCTTATAAAAAACGTTCCAATTGAAGAAATATTTCTTCAAATTTTTCCATGGAGAGGTCAAAACCAATATTAACACTTATTAATTAACAAAACACTAAACTTGGGTACCTGATAGCAACAAATAAATAGTAATAAAAAGTTCATAATGTAGAATAAGCACCTGATTAAATATTTACTAAAATAATTGAATTCCGGAATTATTCAGTAACTTATTCATTGACATGTTCAAATTGATATCCATTTTTCCTAACATACAGTTGACAAACTTTCTTGATACTTCTTAATACAGTGAGTGGCCCAACATACTTGAAGAACTTTGTGCAACAACAGAGGCAGTTCTCCAGGAATTACAAAGACATCTTTCAATGATTAATATGTATTGAGAAAGTTTGTGATGGAAAATGGACATCAATTTGAACAATTCAATAAATAAATCACTGAATAATTTCGAAATTCAATTGTTTTAATAAATATTCAATCAGGTGCTTATAAACTTTTTATTACTATACGGCTGATTCACGGTGGATGGCACATTAGACGTTTCTGGTGAACCAGACAACGGATCATTTCGAAAATCCAATGGAGGGCATATTCGGACATTCTCTAGCCAACTAAAATATTTTCGACAATGCGGTGTTGCCGCTTCTATTAGAAAGCAGTAGCAACTTTGATTTCTCAAATGGAACACTCTGTATTTTATTGCATTTTTAGATTCTCCCTGAAGAGCTGATTTCATCGATGTATCACACTTGGGGTCTAGCGGAAATGATTACAGAGATATAGGTTGTGAAAAATCGACATTTTTCAACTTTGGATTTTTTTTGTGTCGAAACTATTCATCATTGGTCAAAACGGCTCACATGTCCCTATCTCAACTTTTGATTAACTATCTACTGATATTTAATTGGGACATATGCCGGGTGATCAAGATTCTGAATTCTGCACCACCCTGTATCTATATTTACAAAAATATTACTTTGATTCAGTACAGTGTTCTGACACTCTGTAGTATTGTGAATGATATAAAATTGTAAGGCTATTCATTGCCAAAATCTCCCAAATTGACAATTTGATATCTCAAAGAACAAATATCCTGACAATGATTTCCTGATAGAGGAGTGAATTTTCAAAATCAACTAGTAAGCTATTCTTCATCATACCAACATATTTTAAAATTCACCATAGAATTATTGAGCGTAATGTCAGGATAATATGTATGAACAATTTATCTGCTACCTTGATTGAAGTCGGCCGGTTTATTCATAATTTGGCACCGTCACTTAAACAGTCAATAATTTTCATATTGTAATTTTTTGTATGAGCTCCATTGCTCGTACTATTTTCATTCTTGATAAATCCAACGAGAAAATGGCATGATCGAAATACAACAAGAATTAACGGAAAACATTGTGATGGAATAACAACGAGAATAAAAAAATCTACTCACCATGCTTATAAACCCGGATAGTATGAACACAGCATGAACAAGAATTGTCCAAGTTTTTATATCGGAACTTGTACTGTGGCTTCCGATGTCATATATCAATGAAGGCAAATAAAGTTCCGCAATGGCTCCACTATTAGTACTAATGTTTATTCTAGTATTGTTAGCTAGAGACTGACTAATTATAACAGAGCCAGCGCCAAATATTAAATTAATTGCGGTAAATCCAAGGGCTGTCCTAAAAAAGGGATTTAAGGAAATAAGTAATGAAAAAATATTATTTGTTATTTACAAAGTATGTGTGATGTCGAATTTACTGAATGTGATTCTATTTAAATATTTCATTTCTGATTTATTTTTCTTCAATCCACAAAATCTACATTTCGAAATTCATAGGTGCAATAGGTATATTGACATTGAGTTATCCTCACTCTCCTGATTTTATCACTTTCAATTAACCAACGTAACTCAATAACTGTCGGGATAACGCATGTTATTTGAAGAGATCTGGTTACAATAGAAAACGTTGACATGAATGACAAGATCCATCTTCCTGATGAACCAATTCATTTTTGACACTTGGACTCTTAAATTTCAACGGGAGTTCATCCATAAATAATATTAAACTTTTGATTCAATTCATTCTTCACCATGTATATTGAATGTTTTGGGTATGAATCAAAAAAACATGTGAACTGATTATGTGGCAAGTAACATTGTCAAGAAGAATAATCATCCAATTCATATTCATTTGTTATTCAATATACGAGCACTGTCTCAGTGAAGTTGGCCCAAATATCAAAACTACGTTTTTTTATGAAATTTGTCATAGGGAAAAAGTATCAAAAACTAAAATGTATTCCTGATAACATACAATATTCTAGTTCAATTTTAGCCTAAAATATATACTACATTCCTTTGTACCATAGAAAACTCATCTTACAAAATAAAAAAAATGACAATTAATAAAAATCAACGAAAGCAGCAAATCACCACTGCGAAGAGGTGATTTTCGACTGATTACTACTTCGATACGTCTTGATATATATAGTTTTAACTAATGTCATATGATGTAAAACTGTTTGAAAATTTCTTGGAGACAAGTTCGCAATTATGGAACGGTTCTTGTGGGATTCGATCGGAGCTTTTTTATGATATACCACAAGCTTTCAATCGGCGATAGATATGCACTATACTCGACGTCCATTTTAAATCTGGAATACTGTTTTCTAACAACCAACCTTTCACTTTCTAGCCGTATGGCAAGCGCCACCTTCTTGTTGGAAAAAACATTCAATATTGTTCTAAGGCATTCGTTCAATTTGGGGCATTGAGCCAACTTCACTATAAGACAGGGCTCGTATGTATTTGCTATTATATTTGTAATTCCAATCCCAACTAGCATTTATAGTCGCGATTACGTAATTACGACTATTGGGTCGACTATTAAGTAATATTTACTAGTTGCGGTTACGTTATAATTACGTCGTTACTACGTATTTACGACCAAAATGGGGAACAAATCACGAGTAATTATTACGGTTTGCCGACGTAGCGGGAACTCACACAATTACGTAATGGTTACGACCCGTCGACGTCGAAATTACGTAAAGATGTAGTAAATTTTCCTACCTGACTTTCTATTTCTTTTCCACTTCATAAAAATATTATTTTCTCTCTTTATTATTCTTCATTTCATCCATGAAGTTCACATTCACGAAAAATGAACAAGTCCAATATGCCTAACCATTCAATAAATAATACAAGGACAAACACGCGAAATAATTGATACTCGAACTTGAAAAATTCGAACAACATTCAGTTTTTCGATAAATGTGATGATTTTGCCTCGAAATTCAAGATGCGCCCACAAAATACGGCTCATTTCACCAAAAATATGGTTTTATTTCATTCGGCTATTTTTCAAAAATCATCGTAAATCATGTTAATTTCCATTATTATGCAATTTGTGATCGAACGAATGCTATTATTCTTCATAAAATGATGTTTATCAACAAGAATAACCAAAATTATTTCCTGTTCAAATGGTTATCACATCAATCAATATGGCTTCCAATCGAAAATGAATCAGAAAGTTACTTTTGGAACTCGTCAGTTATGATAACCTATGTATTGGTAACGTCAACTGAATATAATTACCGAAAAGTTGTTTCAACTATGAAGGAATTATTTGAGTAGGAATTACCAATATGTTACTTGAAATATCACCAAGAATTGACTAAATTATTAGGTGATCGATCAAGTAACGACAACGTCGTAGAAACCTAATTGGTGACCATAGAGTAATTGCAACTGTGAAGCCTTCTTGGGGTGGTAAGCGTTACCGTAATAATATATCCAAAGTTCCGAAACCTTAAGAGTAGTTTTGAGGAGTGACAGTTTCGAAATAGTTACTTCGTAATAAGCCATGAGAATTTCTCACTTTGAAGCAGTGACGGCTCGTCAGGGACGGCAGGGTCGGCCGGGCCGTACCAAATAATTTGGGGAAAATTACTGAACTATTTGATGAATAGGTACAATTATTTTCCGAAACTGTTTTCATAATTCATCGTTCATTATCCTACTGTTATGCCACTATTATTTCAATTTCATTCACTGGAACCTTTGAGTATGCCATCCGCATATACTCCGAAAATCACGAACTAATTCAGGACCTACGACATCTGGTAATCCCATCGTCAAAACGCCGCTTCAAGTTGAAACGCTCGCGTAGCTCATTACACTGATGCAGACGGCCGGCCGATCGGTGGTTTCTTGTCTCGACCAATCTCGACGCATCGCCTACAGATTCCCCGCTTCAAGTTTGAATTCTCCCGTATAAGCGAACGATACGCGTCATACCTTGGGTGCGGCCAAGCTCTGCTGGCCGTCCGTACGTACGTTATCAGTTGTTTGCAGTGCGCTCGCTGTGCACCGTATCCGACCATTCCGACCTAATTTTTAATATACGGATTGGCATGATTGACATTCTATTTTCATTTACATTGTAGGTATTTATAATTTTTATTCCTATACTTATTTGTAAGTTGATGTTGAAATTTGAAATGTACAAACTGAAAAAAAAAAAATTCGATGTTTTTGTTCACGCTTGCAGTAGTTGCAGTAAAAATGACTGGTGATTTTTGAATTTGCAATTTTTCAGTGATTCATAATTCAACATATCCATCTAATATTGGTATCAGAATTTTCCTTCAGTGCCCCTGAGCGTCAATAAGTTATAATTCAATTTGAATATTGTAATGTAACCTACTGTGCCTCTGCCTATGTAGGTAATATGGCAAGAAAAATGTCAGCAGTCCAAGAGCTGAGTAGGTATTGAAACATCGTAAAAAAGCTCTGCTGACGAAAATGTAATAAATGTATAACTTCCAGAATATCATTTATTTTCAAAGACGCATGTAGCGGTTATAAATAATATTTATGCATCCATCGCGGGAAACATTATACCAGAGATTATACACTCCTGATAGTCCTGATTATACCTACGGCTGCACGGCGGGCTCGGCCAGCCGACTACGAAGGAGTGGGGTGGCTTGTTACAGGAACGGCGTAAAGCGTAGACCGATTTAGTCATTTTTGTGCTTCTCGTGTTAGGTGAGTGGTTGTCGGTTATGTTGATTTTTTTGAGTTTACGTTACGTTTTCAACAGAATATAAATATTTTTTGTTCACGAGTTATTTTATTTTTATTTTCTTCCATTTTATTTTTTCGACTTTCTTGTTATTATTTTTTCATACCAACTATAACCCTTATCCACCTCCTTTTCCTTTCCCCATTTCCCTTGGCGAGAATGCTCTAACCTCGTGGTTCTTGCTGGACAATTTAATTTTTTGGTTATGTGTACAGGGTGATTCACCATAAATTTCCCCCCCCCCCCTCTAGCTCAGTTATTTTTAAACCGATTTCAAAATTTTAAATATCATCTTATTGAATGATTTTTGATTGAGTTTTTTTCCGCTACATCAGAAAATACAGGGTGCTCAGAACAAACGATCTACAGGGTACCATTTGATTTTTTATATGGAACACCCTATTTTTCTTTGTATTTTTAGATTCTCCATGAAAAGCTGATTTGCTCAATGTATCACACTTGGGGTCTATCGGGAATGATTACAGAGATATAGGGTGTTCAAAATCGAGATTTTTCAACTTTAGGATTTATTTGAGACGAAACTATTCATCATCGGTCAAAACGGCTTTCATGTCCATATCTCAACTTTTGATTTACTATCTACTGACATTTAATAATTGGAACAGATACAGGGTGATCAGAATTCTGAATCTTGAACCACCCTGTAAATGTTCCAATCAAATCTCAATAGACAGTTAATCAAAAATTAAGATGGAAACATAGGAGCCGTTTCGACCAATAATGAATAGTTTCGAGACAAAAAAATCCTAAACTTCAAAAATCTCGATTTTGAACACCCTATATCTCTGTTATCATTCCCGCTAGACCCCAAGTGTGATGCATTGATGAAATCAGCTCTTCAGGAAGGATCTAAGAATACAATGAAATACAGGGTGTTCCATTTGGAAAAATCGAGTAGTACTCTGTAGATCATTTGTTCCGAGCACCCTGTATTTCCTGATGAAACGGGAAAAAAATTCTGAGAAATCATTTTAGATCATCCTTCAAATTTTTAAATTGGGTCAAAAATAAAGTGAGCTAGAGGGGGGGACAATTATGGTGAATCACCCTGTACATGCTTATTTGCCATCGAACTTCACTCAAGCCGCTGACCCAACGTGTTACGTTCGCATTTTAGAGCAATATCTATACCCTGGCCGACCCAGGTTCTGAGGGCACGAGCCGTCACTGCTTTGAAGTTATTATCTAGTGTAAAAACTACGTAATTTTCACTCACTAAATAACTATCACTGACATTTATACTATGAAGTTCTGAAATAAGTGATAAATACGTTATTATCACTAAATATAGGTAATAGTTTCTTGAACCATGGTGCCTGTGACTGAAAATGCTAGTTGGGATGATTTAGATTCGAAAATGAATTGGTACAATTACGAACATTATTGAAAAAATAATCTGTAAGACTATAAAGAATAATTAAGATGGAAACATCAGGATTTTATGCTCTGTTCACGTTATACGGTCATATCAAATATCAAGTATAGCTCTCACATTTATTTGAAAATCCATCACCACCTCTGATATTCAGCCGTTATGTTTGGTAATAATGTTGTCATTATTGTTCTCCACATAACCAGACACACCTATTTTAATTAATTTCAAAGGTATTCTGTATTTCTTAGTGATGTTCCAAATTGAACTGTGATTTCGTAGAGTTAGGACACCGATGTCATGTTTTAATAAATACCTCAATATCAATATTTTCTGAATGATTAATCCGAAGTCAGTTACTGGGATTGACTATGGCAATAAGTATTTGTTCTTAATTATTGAAGTAACATTGGGAATTGCTCATGAACACACTATCCTAATACTTACCAAAATGGATTCACTTTATTATAAATGATCCCAGCATTAGTTACAAATGATCCAAAACCAACAGTGGTAGAGAAAAAAACTTGAATAGCTGCATAATACCATGTCTATAAAATCATTGAGTATTCAAATAAAATCCGAGCATAAGTTATATAGGTTTATAAATAATTGAGTCTACCAATACTATCAAATTGTTTGACTTACATTGGCGCTAGTTAATAAGCTCCAGTCAGCATTTGTGAAAAAATCTCCCAAACAATCATATTCAGTTTGTAATGAGATAGATTTCACGAAGAGGGTTATGTACAAACCAAGGGTTGGAAAAATTAGTACGATTAATGACTTGATATAACTCCTCGTCTTCGCAAAAGATCTGTAACAAATCAGTTTAGTCTAGTAAGTTTTTCTATAGATCAGTTAGAACATACAGAACTTACAATATGGTAATTACAATCCATACCATCAATAATAAACCTGCGTATATTCCATACCAGGATGGATCTTCGAATGGTGACTTGAGAAAAGTCGCCTTTATACATTGTTGGCCATTTTTTCCGTACGTAGAATAGCCTACCTGAAAAAAATAGTCTCATAATTGATATAACAAATGCATTCTAATCAGGTTGTATAATTGTAATCAATAATAATGAAGAATTTTATAGAAAACATACATTTGTTATTTTGACTCCTGCTGAACATTCTTGAAATGGCATAGAACCTTTCCATACCCATATCACATAAAAAAGTGATAATGCCATGTATAAAGGGTAGTAAAGACTCAGCAAGCACCCTGCTAAGAATTTGACATATCCAATACCTGAAACAAAGATTATGACATAATTGATGAGATGATAAGTAGAAGAAAACAAAATGTTCGGATAAAACATCTTGATCTAGTCAAGTATTGTCTATTGACAAGATCGAAGGATTGAAGCTTTGTTTCTTGCTGGGCGATTTTGGCTTTGCTTTATCATTGGCCAATGGCAGCTAACCAATTCAAATTAACCAATAACATCAAAATCACGTTTCATCGCTAGCATCGACAAAGCCAAAATCTCCTAGCAGAAAACCAAGCTTCAAACGATTCGCACTGGGTATAGGACGCCCATACATATATAGACGCATATGCGACTACTCTGTTTACAGAATAAGTGAAAAATTCCACCAGTCCCATTCAGAGAACTGGATCTCAAGACTAAGATATACAGGATGAATAGAGTTGCCCCAATTTTCAGCAATGGCGAGACCGTACTGTTTCGTCCACCAGGACTCATCAGCCGCTCTCGGTCTGCTGACGATTCAGACAACTGAACTGTCCGGATGTCCTCTATGAGAAATTACAAAATAAGTTGCAAATTCGTATTTCTCATGTCAGAAAACTTGAAACTTATTTCTTGTTCATGCTGCTAAAACTTGAAAAGTTATGGATACATTTCAAAATAAAATCTGCCCTAAGAACACCCTGTATCTTCTAAGCCAATAACATTCTCATCAGGTATGTTGGGGTAAATCTCAATAATTTATTGTTTTCTGTCTAGTTCAGAGATTTCTCAATGAATCACCCTGTTTGTATTTCTGTACCGAAATATATCTTCCTGACGCTTTTTTCTTGTTTTTCAGTTTCATTTTATTGTCAATATCGTGAGGTGCCTACAGAAGTACATGGTATATTATGTCAAAATCGGTTCGACAACTACACGATGATGAAATTCACCTGCATGTTGCGATAACATATATACAACGCGACGCATTATACCTTTTCCCGACAGATTTTTTGATGACTTGCTGATTAGTTAGTCTATAACAAGGTCGCCTCCTATTTCCTTTATGATTTTTTGTATGATCAATATCAATAGAATAGTCATTCATGTACCAATTGCGTTGTAGATCCTAACGCCCGGAGGGATGAATGCTGCCCAATGGGCGTTAGGATCTCGTAACGTTCGTGGTGAATGATGCAAGGTTTCATTTTTCACGAAAAAATTATCTTATTATAATGAAAACTCGATTTCAAAAAGCGGTTTATTGCTCCTAGCATTTTCTTTCAATTTTTCTTCTCATGGTAGGCATGGCATTTGTTTATATTTTGACGTTCGTTGAATATTGCTGTCATCATTCAATTTAGTGACTTCCTTTGTGTAGTCTTATAAAAATAATAGAAATGAATACGATTGTATCCAAGAACATAATATAAAATGCAGACAAGGCTTCGATTAATTTATTGCCGGAGAAATCCAGACTCGTGTATATGTCGGCGTCAATTATTAGTGAAATCCGTCATCCCCTGAATTGCTTAGTCATTTCACGTATTGTCGGCAAACAGCGTTACATCGTATTAACTTCCATATTCAGCCGTTAATCTGTTTGCCGGAGGGTCAAGGAAGGAAAATAGCCTTTCTGCATATGCACAAGTAGGAGACTATTTTTCCTGAACAAAATATAACCAAACTCCGCCTAAATGAACCTTCTTTCTAGAAAGTATATTTTTCAGAGAATTACTTGAGAGAACAGAAGAGACTACTGCTTCTAAACAACCTAAGCTGACTCGGCCTAAATGAACCTTCTTTCCGTCATTACAGGGAATGCCTGAAACAATTAGGCAAACGGTGTATACGAAATTTAGAGTTACGCTATTTGCCGGCAATACGTGAAATGATTATAGGCATTCCAGAGAATGACGGATTTCACTGTTTGACGCCGACATATACAGGGTGATCCACGGTGGATGGCCTATTAGAAGTATCTGAGAACGAAATTACAGAACATTCTGAAAATTGGAATGCTTTGATAATTGAACATTCTCTATCTGTCTACAATATTTTCATCGATACAGTGTTACCACTTCTATCAGAAACAACTAGCAACTTTGTTATTCTAAATGGAGCACTCTGTATTTTATTGAATTTCCATATTCTTCCTAAAGAGCGCTGATTTCATCAATATATCAATCACACTTGGGGTCTAGCAGGAATGATTACAGAGATATAGAGTGTTCAAAATCGAATAGACGAAGTGCTGCTAGCAGCGCCCTCTGCAAGGTACATGGCAACTCTGATCAGATCTGGATTTATCATTAAGGACAGCTCTGAAAAATAACAACTATGAAATCCTCATATTTTAGCCTCAGGATACTGCGTTCTGAATAGACCTGAATATTTAATATCATATTAGAACAGTACTGATGACACATTGAAAATGAGTCAGCTTTTTCAGTTCATGACCATATTTGATCAAGATAATGGTATATCTAGATGATAGTTATTTATTACCTTTAAAGAAAGGCACAGCCTTCCAGTATTTGATAAATCCCTCTTGTGCTAGTTGACCAAATCCCAACTCAAGAAATAGAAGAGGTAATCCAATGAACACTGTTAGTATCAAGTGTGCTATCAGAAATGGCAGTCCTCCTCGTATCATCGTTACTTGAGGTAGCCTGTATAGATTGCCTAGTCCAAGCGCCATTGACATCGTGCAAAGGGCCGTTGATATATAGTACATCCATGTTTGGCAAGACTGAAATAATTTAAAAAATAAATTAATATATGGGATATCTTTGTAGTAAGCTGGTAGCGTACAGAAAATGCAAAGAACATGTCGCTGTTGGATGGTGTTGGCGCTCTTATTGCAGGAGTGACTAGAAATGCTATAACCGCCCATGTGCGACATTTCATTTGCATCTGACTGTACCTATATATCTCACTAATATCAAGTGGCGTGCAACTTATTTCTAAGAAAAGTATAGGTAATCCTAATTCCTATAACTATACTGTAGACGCAAGTTTAGATAGAAAGGCGGTGATATAAAATACATAATGATAATAGATTATAAACTCAGGCACTAAAGTGGCACATTCAATCGCGATATAATGAATGAAATCAGTCAGAAATAAAATTATCTATGTATCACGGGAATTATAGAGCCTTAATAACCTCTGGCAATTGCTGTCCCTCGGGCCAGAGGCCCTCGGGACGCAAACTTTGCCATCGGTAATTAAGGCCCTCATAATTCCCTTAATACATAAATAACTATTAGTCCCGTGTATTTGTACCATTTTATGCACTTCAGGACTAAAAATATAGAATTATCAAGAAAATATTGAAGGACGACAGTACCTACTCTCGTACTCTAGTTTCACATTATCAAAAGCGGTGGTTATCTTATTCTGCGCCATGACGTTTGAGAAAAAACGTTTGCATATGCTTTCAGTCCCTGAGGGATCAAAAGTACCCTTTTATTAGTTTTATTCCCCCCGAAGTTCATCAACGTTTTTATACGCTCTGACTATTTTGTATTGTCTATCTCATATATTTCTATGATGGACCCCCTCTATATCTCAGTATCATCAGTTTTTCAGACAGTGCCGTGCGTTTTTAGAAATTAAAAGGAGTCCACATACCATAATTTTTCACAAGAGCTTGTTTCGAAATTATGCCAGTCTCTGAAAAACACATATAAATGGTCCTTCATAACAATCCAAATTTGGTAAGAATCGCACGACTATAGTATAGCTGAGATATATGGTCCGTTTAAAACTGAATACTGCCTTACAGATTGGAAAAATCAACTGGAAGTGTTATATTGACGAATAGGATGATGAACAATTCGTTGAATATCTTCGGATTGAACGGATGTACTTTCCCTGGCACACCGAACAATATTTTGATGATATTGAAGTAGTGACCAATATCCGTACCAGTGCACAAATCATAAATTTCATGAAAAATACGGATTAAATACAACAGAAAATTGTTAATCTCGATCTAGAATGTTGGGTTGAAATGTATATGTATACAGGGTGAGTCAATAGTGTGTTCTCCTTCTGTATTAGCCAAACCGTCAGATATATAGAAAAAATTCGAATACAACAGATATAGGGTTTCTTGATGGGAACTATCACCTAAAATTATTTTCATATCTATAGGGTGTTAGAATTCCAAGATATCGGATGATGATGGGTGTTTTCCGAGGTGTTTTCAAATGAAACACCCTGTATATTATTAGATTTTCAGATTCACCCTTAAGAGCTGATTTCATCAATGTATCGCACTTGGTGACTAGCTGAAATGTTTATAGAGATATAGGGTGTTCAAAATCTATATTTTTCAACTTCGTGATTTTTTTGTGTTAAAACTATTTATTATTGGTCGAAACGGCTCACATGTCCCAATCTCAACTTTTGATTCACTATCTACTGACACTTAATTGGAACAAATACAGGGTGGTTCAAAATTCAAGATTCCTGATCACCCTGTATCTATTCCAATTAAATTTCAGTAGATAGTAAATCAAACGTTGAGATAGGGACATGTGAGCCGTTTCGACCAATAATAATAATAATAATAATAATAATTGGTAACTAAATTATATCATTATTATTATTATTATTATTATTATTATTGTCTCAATGAAACAAAAGGCAGAGTTCAACTCGCCGATAAATCGACAGCTGCCCTTCCACTCAACCATAATACTGGGCCATCTCAAGCTATAGGCACAATGAATAGTTCTGACACAAAAAAATCCCAAATTTGAAAATTTTCGATTCTGAACACCCTATATCTCTGTAATCATTTCCGCTAGATCCCAAGTGTGATGCATTGATGAAACCAGCTCTTCAGGAAGAATTCAAAAATGCAATAATATACAGGGTGTCCCATTTAAAAACACCCGTCATCAGCCGATATCTTGGAATTCGAACATCTCATAGATATGAAAATAATTTTAGGTGATAGCTCCCATGAAAAATAACTGTTGCATTCGATTTGCTTTTATATACCTGACGGTTTGGCTAATATCGAAGAAGAACACACTATTGACTCATCCTGTATAGTGTTATTCAAACTCGATAATAGAGAGTTGAAGTACACACTGTACGTAGACCTCCACGTAGACGTTTACGTACGGAAAATAACGTTCACGGATTATTCCTAAATTGAGTTATTGTGATAAAATGAATATTGATGAGTGAAATTGATCGAAAACAATATTCTCTCAAATTATGGCTGTTGAGTAGGTACTTATTATATATAACTATGATTACTTTCTTCGTATAATTTTAAATCAATCAGAAGGTTCAATTGAGTTAAGCTACCTTGTATAATTTCAAATATACGTGGATATACATAGAGTAACTCTACCAATCAGAAATTTGGAATTATTTCTATTTTCATAGTAACCAATTCATATTGTTACATGATATACGAACAAAGCGCACTTCTTAAAATTCCGATGTTCGTTTAGAACTTCCTAACAAATAATCGCATCGAATACAATTCGAACTCCAAAATATTCAAGGTTATACATCTCAAACTTCCTGCACAATTACAAATCGTGTCAGTTTAACAGAATTATCCTCCTGCTTCGTGGTCGGAAATTATTTCAACTGTTAAATAAGTTATCGATGTATAACCCGAATGGTCTGGAGTACTTATATATATATATAGAGTTTTTGGTTGCCGACCGACCGATCGGTAATGTCACGTGACTGATCACAATGACAAATACGATTGGCTCCGACAAAACCCCCAAAAAACGTGAACTTCACTGCTCAATCGATTATATACCGAAAATAACACATATCCATCAAGTAACAGCCGAGTCAATTCAAAAAATCCGTAAAATCATCATCTCTTTTATCAGTCATTGAATTTCGTAATATAGATTTTGTGGATGGACTAATATAATTTTGAACTGCCTACCAGGAATATTCCGCTCAAATGAATCATACAGTGATGTAACGCTATTTTTGTTAAATTATAAGCAATTTGTTGAGTCACTCATTTTGAAGACTGTAGATACCCTTGCCACTTTTCGAGTAATTGGATTGTTTTCGGGTTATATTTTATATCCTTGAATCACATCGACCATCAAAAATCCCGGGCCACCGAACATAAACGTTTATGTTCTGTGCCCGGGCGATGTGGTCTTTGATCGGTCGGTCCTGGTCTTCAATAAAAATCGTTTTCATTTGGAGATCGCAATCGGTCAATGCGGTCATCAAATAAAAACCCTACGGTTGAAGTGTGGTCCAAGTGGTCGTAACCAGTAGGCAATCAAAAACTCTCTCTTCGTGTTACTATTGATTATTATCTTCGCATGTCAAATTCTGACACCTTAAGGGAATTTTTGACGTATTTCTCATCGTATCAACGACAATAACGTTTTTCTACAAACGTCAGAAAATGACAAGGTTCGCGAATTGATAACAAATTGCGAAGACTTTTTTCCGTTTCCTACGTTACCACGACACAATATGCGAAGCAGTGCGCGAAGTAAAACGATGCGCGAAGTACATACTTCGCGCATTGTATGTAAACTATATGAGATTTTAATATTTTAACTCAATGGTCCACAATCGAGCAAACATCCAATAAATAATTTATTTCTGGATATTCAACAATAATTCATTTCTGAATATCAAACAATAATTTTTTTATCTGTTGGACCGCACCAAAAGAAATTCCTATAATTTTCGTGGAACATCTTGCGTACCTACCCACTGAGCACAGTGACGTTGAAAAAACGTTGCTAAATGGTTTGAAACCGAACGTTTATAAGGGGTATTTCTCAAACGTTGATTCAACGAAAAAATGTCGCACGATAATACGTTTTCTTCAACCAATTTACCTACTAAAAATAAACGTATTTTGAGAACGATTTTTCAACTTGAGTATCAACGTGACATGAACGTAATGTTTTGATTTTTCATAATTGTCGATAATAAAGGTTTATTCAATGTTTAATTGACGTTTAAAAATGACGATTTGAACAAGTTGATTAAATAAGATTTTTCAACGTTCACTTCAGATCAATTTTTAATCGTCGAATTTTCGGTTTTTCGAACGTTACTCAAACGTTTTAGCTAGATTACTTCTCGTAATTTCTGTGTCCACAATGAATTAATTATCATTTCCATAATTATTGCAATTATTATTATTATAACTTACTCACCTGATATGTGTCCATGTATTTCCTTTCCGTTCCATTTCCTTCTTAGTGACATACCTATCTTCACGTTTCCCTATTCAAATTTGCTCGACTACTCGTATTTATACCTAAACTCTTGGTGTGAGCGTCGGCGAGATGTAAACGGAATGAATACACGTTGTCTAAAGACGATTATCTAACGTTGTCAGAAAACATATATTACACGCTTTTTTTTTCTACCAACCGTCAAATACTTAAAAAAAAACGTTTAAGTAACGTTCATTTCAAGAGTTCAATAAACGTTTTGGATAAACGTTAGTTCACCGTGAGAAATTGCCGAATCGATGAAAAGTAGCTTTGTATCCATGTAAAGCACACGTTTTCAAATGACGGATGATATAGAATATAGTTTAACGACAACTTATATTACACGTTGACGAATAACAGTTGAAAAACGTTTCATTCAGGTTCTTCTTCCACTCTCGGTCAGAGAATGTTGACAGATTCGCGGTACAGAAATTCTTATTTCGAACGTCTAACTAACGTTTCGAGGAAACGTTTTATAAATGCATAATTTCAACAGATC